GTAGCAACATCAGCACGCCAAAGGGCACTCCTTTAAAGGCAAGGAAGGGCAAAAATATTTTAAGTCAAGTGATAGCGATTGCCGTATGAGTCGTACGATTTTTGAATCAAGCCCGGGCAACGCCAGGCCATGCTGCTCGTACGGTTATAAAGACGACGAATACCATCCTACAATGTATTATTCTATGCCTCTTGCCACGGTTGTTGCAATATGAGTGTTGAAGGTGGATTAACTGAACTAGTTAGGCGACGTTCCATTATGTCTCTCATATTCAAAAGGGGAGAGAGTTCTGGCTATCTGTGGAGTAGTACAGGCGTCATAAGGACAGGCATTATACTGCTGAAACAGTACATGGCTCCTGTTGCAGAATGGGTTCAACAGTGTTCTGGACGTACATTCTAAACACCAAAGACGAGCGACGGCAGTAACTTATGGTATCCCATGGAGTTTATCCCGTGTGCCGCGAGAAAATATACCCTGGAAGATGTCGATTCAGTGGTTTAGGTTGCATACGCAAACGTCCTGCACCAATAGAGGCTTTACTTTCATGACGAACAAATACTCTTGGCCTGTTCATGTCTAGGGTCAACCATATCTTCCCAATTTATCTTCATAAACTGTGACACTTACTCTGTAACCCCTACATCGAGTGGCACTTGGGCCTTGTACATGAGGAATATTATTGCAAAAATATTTTATTCAAAATGAGTATGACTGTGTCATAGCTGTGTCGATGTGTGTGCGTGACATAAGGTGTTAGTGTATGTCTATATTAATATATAAACTGAAACGCGTCTATTAACAAAATGATTCGTTTTTTACAGCTTACCAACCTTTTACAGGTTATTTAAATCCAGAAAATATTTTAGATTGTAAACTACAGAGTGCCATTCAACTTCCAGATGACCTTCTTGTGGCCAAGTTGAGACAGGAAGGACGGTGGAGTTGCCGTAAGTCACTGGTAGACCTGTTGCAAATAAACGATTTCCAGTGCTCCGTGTTGACACTATTCGGGCCAGATTTGCTCTAATCTATGCTGTGAATGTCATTTAGTCTGCCACTTCTGCTCTCCATCCTCCTCCTCATCATCATCATCATCATCATCATCATCATCATCATCATCATCATCCTTCGACCTTCCTGTGGTTGGTCTGAACTCTATTAACAATCTCTTTCCATACTGCTGGGTCCTGCATTGCTGCCCCCAGATCCCCAATGTTCAACCCTGAGTCCCAAGACCATATTGTCTAGGATTCGCGAGAAGATACCTTCAGAATGATTCCAAAGAAGTAAGCATGAGACAACCTCCCCGTCCGCTCAGTGGCAGTGGCGGGAAAACTGCAATCGCTTTTGTTTGAGCTTAAGAGAGATTGGTCCCAGTTCTCCGTAAATTGTGTTAAGCGTTGCATCGGATCTCCAGCTGATGTTCTGAATTTTTCAAAGCAGATTTGTATATGTTCCATCCAGTCGTCTTTCAAGTCAGCTCTTACAATCCGTCGACAGTGACAAGCATGTTCACTTCTTGGTAGTTCAGTCTATGAGTTTAGGGAAATCACTATCGAAGCACCATCGATGCTATCTCACGTCCATCGGGCGCAGAAGCTCTCCGAAATAACCATCCAGCCACTCGAAAGCCAACAATCCAACCCTTCTCAAACAGATTTAATTGAACGAAATGTTCACTCAATACAAGGCACAAGAGCCACTCAAAGTAGAAGTTTACGGAATGAGACGTATGATATGAACGTTGGAGAAATATTATGTCACAACATGGCCATAGACTGAAAATTTTATCAAAATAGTTTAATATCCCCTAACATGTACATACTTTACAACAGTCAAAATCAGCATTGTCCATCAGGGCTGTTGCAATTCTATACCTTTTCAACTTCAAAATGATAATAATCAACTTCAAAATGGACTTATTTTCAGGTAAAAAATTAATCAACGTCAAAATGGATCAATCAACTTCAAAATGGATTAATCAACTTCAAATTGGAAAACAACTTCTCAATGAGAAATAATCAACTTCAAATTGGATTAAACAACTTCAAATTGAGAATTAATATAATACTAATAAATTTAATATTTATTCTTTTATTTTTACTTAAAAGGGATATAAAAAAATATAAACGTTTCTAAGAAATTTATTTAAAAGATTACATCATCTAAGTTAATTACAGAGGGAAGTAATATCTGTATTCCAGATACGAAGTTCGTGCAAGTCTCAGGGGAAATATTATTAATTGCCTCGGAGATCATCGCTTCTAACTTGCTGAGGCTGAATTCTTTAGTAGTTAAAGATCCCTGCCATCACCTCTTAAAATCCCAACAATTGAGTCTGCCATACTTCTTTTTACGTCAGCTTTAATGATTGACCAAACCTTTTCAATGGGATTTAACATCAGACTATAGGGGGAAAGTCTGAAAATTTGTGTGTTGCCTAAATTCATCCTCCTCCACAACTTCTTCAATTGAAGTATGGCAAAGAGCGTTATCAATAACTAAGACAACTTCCCTTTCATAAATTTCATTTGCCTTTCTAAGGCACTCCCTGGTCCATTCTTTCACATCCACTTTTTTGAAAGAACCTCTTTTAATTTTATGATGAATTAATCCATTATTACTAATACATCAAATAACATGGATATTATTTCCCTTGGATCCGGCCGCGACTGTAGTGCACCTCGTGTCTTTTTTAGAGCGACCTTCTCTTCTTGAAATATGGTGATAAAAATTGGTTTTATCCATATAAAGAATTAGCATACTTTGGGACTGAAATTCTGATAAAACTACTGCGTAATCCTTACGTTTCGCCTTATTGACATTATTATTGGCAGCTTCTGGTTCATAATGAACCACTTTTAAAGTAAAGGCCATGGAGTCCAAGTGCTTTCTTATGCATTCTTTCGTCACACGAACCTCATACTTTTCGACCAACTTATTTACAATGTCTTGAAGAGTGACCCTTGGAGAGTTTTCAATTAATTCAGCCATAAAATTCTTATGCTCTTGCATAATTTTATATTTTCTTGCTCCTCCCCTAGAGTCACTCTTATCAGCACCCTGGTCTAACCAACGGTACGCTGTTCTTGTCAGGTCTTTCCAATTTCCTGCTGCGACATGTGCAGCTAAAATCTGGGCCTTTTTTTCGCCAGCCACAGTTTTCTTGAGGTAAGTCCTCTTTGGAGCTGTTACTAATTCTTCTTCAGCTTCTTTTGTAGAGGTTTCTCCAGCATCATCATCAATCATCATTTTTGCCCATACAGGACTTTCTCCTCTTACTTTTACTGAAGGCTCACCCAATGCTTTCTTGGCCTCTAAGTTGTATTTTGTTTTTTTCTTCATCTATATAATGAAGACGAACAGTCAATTTCCTTACTCATGGGGTAAATTGAAAAAATAATTTTCAATTTACCAAAAAAAAAAAAAATCTCAATTTGAAGTTGTTTATTCTTATTTTGAAGTTGATTGTTTTTAGGTTTTTGACATTTTCTCAATTTGAAGTTGATTAATCCATTTTGAAGTTGATTGTTCCATTTTGAAGTTGATTGATCCAATTTGAAGTTGATTAATCCATTTTGGAGTTGATTAATTTTTTTACTTGAAAATAAGTCCATTTTGAAGTTGATTATTATCATTTTGAAGTTGAAAAGGTATATTTCCCGCCAATGTATCTCTATGTCAAAGAGAGTCAATCGTGTGTTATCATGGTAATCTCTCTCCTGTTTGCACACACGATTGAATGAGAACACACGCAAAAACATGCATTTAGATACAGTTACACACACATCACAGTTCAGTAATTTACGCGGACGCATACAAAGACCCACACAATTCTAAAGAATAAACACGTATGCAGAACTACGCATACGCTCAAGGATATCTATTCGGAAACATTTACAATGGCATTGCATAAATGCGACAAAACATTTATGAGTTCAACTGTCCTGAAGCCTGCATTCTGTCCACTTACTGGTAATCTTGTCGTGATCTTGTTATTGACAATATAAGGACGTTTACCCACATGCCCATACGAATGGAATGTAACACGTCGAGTTTAAAGTGCGAGTCTCACGGTGTACATGATCTAGAGGCAAAAATTGCCCAAGCCCCCTCAGACATATCCCTTGTTGGGGATGCCTCAAGCGCCAATATAAGCAAGCATAACGTCAAACAAATCCTGTTCACTGCTAATCGATACTCCGTTTATGGATAATGTCTAAAAAGGGACAGATTTAAATTTTATTCACATTATAACTAATTGCACATAAAATATGCATGAAAAGGTTTTATTATTAAATAAATCTAAAACTGACAAAGTGTAACGTTCGTGTTCTGGCTTTGAGACTCGGGTTCGAATCTCGTCACGGTCGATATATCAGGGAGGTAATTTCTTAATGCTTTTGACCTGGGTAGACAATCCCAGCGCACGGCAGCGTTTGAAAAAGGCGTGGAAATACCATACTATAAAATTGGGTAGACTAAACTCTTCCGCGATTATCGATAGTTGCGTTAACAAGGAATTATAAGTCAGCGTGACTGAGTGTTTGAGTGTAGTGATCTTGTTCAAAATCAGTTGATCATGTCATTTTAGGCTCGTTCTCTCTCTCTCTCTCTCTCCTAGAAACTATAACTAAGTTTCGTTCTGTATAGTTGCAATATAAATAACACTTTGGCTCTGTGAGCGATAAAGAAACACAACTACTCCAGAGCAGGTGTCTGTAACAGGGACTACCTAGCCACGCTAAGAGACGCATTGTTTTGTTTAACGACATATTTATTTCTTTGGGCCATTTATTGCCGAAATCTAAATATATTGCACGCAATTTTTTTTAGTTTAGTGCTTCACGTCTTACTAATTAACCTATAGCTAGGGGAGAAAAGGTGGCTTCATACCTTTCCCAAGGTTATTTTGTGGGAATATAACGAAGCCGACTGGAATTGGAACATGGCTTTCCGGTTAACAATTCCGAGCTGTTATTTATTGCACCACCCGCACACCTGGTATTCCTAAGCGGTCACCCATCTAAGTACTGGCCAGGCTCGACGTTGCTTAACTGTACGGGAACCGGTGTTTCAATAACAGACGCGTGTGTTCCGATAAACGAGTAGCCAGACATTTTATACATATATACATACATACATTATGCATGTTTCATTAAAAACGACAGACAAGATAGTACGGTTAAGCTTTTTTATTTAATTTTTCTTGTGTTCAAACGAGAGGTTTTTTTTTTCTGGACAAAGGGTGTGTAAGAACTGTCCAAATGTTTTATATTTCCGAGCGCTTTCGGCTATACCTTTAGCCATTATCAAGGATGATTCGATTTTTCGACATACATACATATATACATTTTTCGACATACATATATGCATATATACATACATATATACATCGTATCCGAGTATGCCTCTCTATTAGGACGGCTAGTCAATCTTTGTTGCTCAGACACATTTTCAGTTTGTTTACAGTTCAGGTGCACGCACTGAAGACAACAGACACAGAACACAGAATATATGTTATTCAAGTCTTGCCTACAAAGCTCACACAATCACTGCGCTGACAATCTCAAATATAATATATACTTAGTTCTAAAACACTATTTATATGTACCGGCAAATTAGCTTTGGTGTCTATTTTTACCGGGACCGGCAAAATAGCCTATTCGGAATGCATAAGTGTACCGTGCACAAGTGCGTATATATTTATGTAATTATGCACGTATGAAGCCACAACAATTCACACTAATATTTGTACGCACTTTTTGCACGACCATCTTCACACGTACATACACAAGCGCAAACGCTCATATTAACACCTACAAGAGCATCATACCTCATATATACGCACACATGTCAATAGAGTGACCTTTTGGGAATACCAGGTTGTAATCTGGGATGTGAGGGTGGCGCAATAGATAAGAACACAGAATTGTTAATCGGAGAGCCGAGTTCCAATTCCTGTTGGGTTCGTTATATTCACTTACGTGCAAATTACCCTGGAGAAAGTTAGGAATCCACCTCTTCTCTCCCCATCTATGGGTTAATTAGTAAGACTTGTATCACTAAAAGATTCTTACAATCAGAAATATTTTCTGGCTTTAAATAACCTGTAAAAGGTTGATAACCTGTAAAAACGAATCATATCTCAATAGACACGTTTCAGTTTACATCTTAATATAGACATGCGCTAACACCTTATCTCACGCACGCACATCGGCACGGGTATGACACAATAATATTCACTTTGAATAAAATGTTTTTGACAATAATATTCCTCCTGTACAAGGCCCAAGAGCCACTCGATGTTGGGGGTTACAGAGTAAGAGGCACAGTTTATGAAGATACATTGGGAAGGTATTGTTGACCCTAGATTTGTACAGGCTAAGATTGTATTGATCAAGAAAGTATCCTCTTGGGAGTCGGTGCGTGTAAAGAAGCTACTCTAGTGGAACTTCCATCTTGCCAATGGAATATGAAGAGAATGAGAATGGTTCGCTACAATGTGCCTCTGGCCTGACAGGTCTTAGCCGTGAAGATAAAAACCTGGCGGAAAGATAAAAACTACGAAATGTAATTCGCCAGAACATTTTCCATGGAAATAGCGATCAAGCAGCGAGATACTTGTGACGTTTCGTCCGTGGGAAAGGGGTTACAAAGTGGGCAATAATTCATCACCCACAAGGACGCTTTTAGACTCTTATTGAGACTGGAAAGTGAGGACTGAACAGCTCCAGCTCTAATATTTTTTACAGTAAGGTTCACCCTGTACAAGACCCTGGAGCCACTCAAGATAGAGGATTACGTTAAGAGGTAGTTTATATGCATAGGAGGGGGAGATAACGATTAACTCTAGACAGGTTAAGACTGCAGTGATTGGGGAAACACCCCCTCGGGTTTTTTTTCCACCACAGAGCAGAGGTTCGCGGGAAGAAGCTATTCGAGTGGAACTTACTTCTCACTGAGGGAGTATTGGTATTTTGCTACAATTTAAGTAGTATGGCGGGTCCTAGCCGTAAAGGGTTAGGGAGGACGAAATCAAGAAATGTAGTTCGCCGGGGCACTTTCCATGGATGTGGCGATAGAGCAGGGTAAGGCTCGCTACATCTCGCCTGTGGGAGAGAGGTTGGACGGTGGGAAATAATTTCTCACCCACAAGGACTCGGAGACGCTTTTGAACTCCATCAAGACTGGAAAGTGGGGACTGGGCAGCTCCCGCCAAAATATGACAGAAGTACTCCATTTTAGGCTCGATGTGGCTCTTTTAAAAGTAAGGGGATAGCACGAGATCTGGAAGTAGAAGGCGTAGCGAGAAGATAAATTTTATTATTAAGGATAGATAGTTGTGGAGAGTCAAGATCTATTAAAACGCATAAGCATAAATACGCATAAACACTACCCATACAAACATACGAACAGGAGTTTTTACACAGATATACACTCTTTTTTTAGGCTCCCAAACTTCCTCACACGCATTCTAACAACGAGAAAGCGAGACTTCCGCGTCACTGCAGTATCGAGCCTGCCGCTGACGAGCGAGCTGCTGCCTCTAAGTAGAAAAGAAAGACTGACGATACAGTTTGTTTTATTTTTATTTTATTTTTTTTTAGTTATTTTTTTTTTTTTAATCTTAGACTGAAGGAAGCCATCAGCCGTTACTGACATTGGATATTTTCTCTCCCCCAAATGGATGCAGTATAAGTGTCTGCGGCCAATTTTTACAGGTATGTATAAACTGTTTTCATTTCGGCATTTTTCTACTTACAAGCATACGTCAGTTCTTTATCGCAAACATCAATTCTTTTGCACATCTGCTGTCACCGTAATAAATAAACATGCCGGAATACAAACAAGCTGATTTTAACAATAAATGGACAGTGTGTGAGCGAGTCGGAAGATGATAGGATCAGTCCTAAATTAATAAAGCAATACTTTCTAATTTGTCTTCTATTTATATTATTAAAATTTCTTCGTACAAACGTATTTTAAATTCTTACTAACATAGGACCCGTAAAAAATGAAAAAAGAGGATATTTACGTTTGTTTATGTATGGGCCGGCAATTCGGCCAAGAATAAAGATAACTGTGTAATCTACCTTGTTTCTGAAGTGCAGTTTTTAGGATCACAGTGTAGTATCTGTCTGTAAACCGTTACACACAAATTATACACACACACACACACACACACAGACATATATATATATATATATATATATATATATATATATATATATATATATATATATATTTATGTATGTATGGGTAAATTATTTTCAGATAAAGTGTATGTGTGTGTATGTGTGTGTGTGTATATATATATACATTTTTATATGCATCAGTGTATATCTGTAGATAGATAGATAGATAGATAGATAGATAGATAGATAGATATTACATTTAAGGCGATGTATGAATGCGCACATACAAATAGAATATGGCACAAGGCCAAGTTTAAAGTGAGACACCCACGCATGCATGGAACCAAATGACAAAAATAGTTCCGTCCCCTCGACATTTCCTCTTTTTTGTAAACAACTCAAGTGCTACTGATTATCCCTAGCTAAATGGTCACTAGAATGCACACACACACACACACACACACACACGCGCGCGCTCTCTCTCTCTCTCTTCTCTTCATGAGAGAGGTTTTCCTGGTGAGCGATTCCCCCCCCGGACTGCGGACTATATATATATATATATATATATATATATATATATATATATATATATATATATTTTTTTTTTGTTTAAAATATGATACCTTCGCTACATAAGAAGCTCTACTTCTGTATGGAGCACTGTCTTCTTAAAAATAAAAACAAAAATACTAAGGAACCCTGGATTATGCACCCAACGTGTTCTTTTCTATTTTCTGCATACCTACGCACTTTTATATATATATATATAGTAATTAAATAGAATGTTCAAACTTATCTTCCTAGCTCAGAGTTTCGTAAAAATCGTATCCGCTTGTTACAGGCGTAGGTAGTAAATTTGATTATTTTATAAGTCTCATATAATTGTTAAAAGACGTTCCTTAAATTTCTCTTTAGAATTTTTTTCTTTCTAAAAGACGTTTTTGTAATGCATTTTATTTTTATGTATAAAGTTTTTTGTTGTTATTGTCGCTATTACAAGCATCGTCAATGTCCAGATTGTAATTAACCCAAGGTCTACCTTGGACCAATCTTATGGAAAAATAATAACTAAATAAATGAATTAATTAATAATAATAATAATAATAATAATAATAATAATAATCAGAGATGTTTCGACTTGAAGGTACACTGCAATTAGTGTGATTTCTCATCCTCAGCATGGATTCACTATGACTCTTCGTTTTTAAATATGCCCATCTGCTCAGGCCCAGATATGTTTCTTCAACACCCACAGACCCCCACATGTTGTTTATACTATAGCTAGGACGAGAAGACCTTAAGTATGTGCAATCAGGGCCACATATGGTTTTGAATTTAGAATTGTCCTTCTCCTATACTGTTTAACAACCACGGCTATAATAATAATAATAATAATAATAATAATAATAATAATAATAAAACATCAAATTAATTTTTCTCGGACTGATTTAAATTAAAGTTATATAAACTTATGAGGCAAAACTTTCAACTCTGTAGCAATAAAGGCAAAAATATTAACCTATGTAAAAACCAGATGTAGCCTTATTGAACAAAATCGTCGTAAGCGATAATAAATGTTACATAATTGAGTTACAACTCATGAAAAAAAAAAAAATATATATATATATATATATATATATATATATATATATATATATATATCCTGTGACAATATATATATATATATATATATCCTGTGAAAATAAAATATTACTACGAAACGAATCTATGCAAAATACTGTGCTATTATAAAATCGCATAAATATATAAATGCATATAAACAGACACGCGCGCACACACACACACATCACACACGCAAACGCACACACAAACATACAGAAAACACACAGACAGACGCACACACACACACGCACGCACACACACACAGACACATACAAACACACAGACAGACGCACACCCGTTTACATATGGTGACGCAATCTA